AATTATCGAAAATTTGCATCGATTTCAATTCAATACTATTAAAGTAATTTCATAATTCTGTTAAATATTTTTAAATGAATTAAATTCGTATAATAATATTATTGGGACAAAAATAACAGTTTATTACTTTTATTGTTTCAATAATATTTATTTAAATATCGTCATCACAAGATTCGTCCTCGCCCAGTTTGGAATCTTCGAAACCACTTAGAAATGGTCACTCCATATTCATTTTGGCATTCCTGGAAAATGTGCATAAGCTTGAGTTGACGTCGAAATCCGTAGAGAATGGTAAAACAATTTTTTGCAGTGTGGGTGGAATTTCTACCAACATTACATCACTAATCTTGTATTCTCTCCTATCCATTCTTACCGATCTTCTTGAAATTTGACATGAAATATCCTTAGACTTTAACAAATTGAGAAACAACTTTTGTTTTTTCAGAAACAAATGTATCAAGGCAATATTGAATTATGTTAAAAAAAGTGTGCAATATTAAATTTTATACTAAATGAGGAGTTAAAATGAAATTTAGACTTGTTTAGATTAAAAGAATATTTCTCGGCATTTGCTCGAAAAAAATAGGTATGATTAAAAAGGCAATATGTGAATTGGGAATAGGACGAAGTTTCCAGCAATTTCTGCTGTGGAAAAGTTTCACTTTTGTTTGGTCGTTGGAGGATCGCGAAACTTTTTGCCGGAGAAATTGAAAATTTATTAAAATTAATCCGGCGGCAAATAACGTTGAAGAAGGAGGAACGAAAGAATGTTTCGTAATAATGGCAAGCGAGGGAAAAGCGTAAAAAAGAAAGTGAGGAATTATCAGATTATTTAATATTATTTGAGAAAACTGTTTAATTATAGTTCGTATCGTGTTTAATTATAGTTTTCAAGAAATCTGAGTTGAAGAGATTGAAAGGAGGCGGATGCTCGAAGTGAAAGAGATTTTTGCTGCTCACATAACTTTATATACTTATATTATAAATTAATTCGAGAATTTCATTTCCACCTTGCTGAACATGAAAGTGCATCTCCTCCTTATTTACATCACAACCGGCTGCCGCTCGTAATATTTGTTAATATGCCATCATTTGCACTACAAACATCCCAGGGAAAACTTAAATTAAAACCGCCTCTGCCAAATCTTAATTAAAATCCTAAACCGAACAGCATCAACGCAGATTTCACCAAACTTATATACACTTTATGGCAGTGAGAGCATTCCGTCCTATTAATTTCAATCAAAAGCAGATCTATGGATTAACTTAATACGTAACATCATTAGGCCTTCTTCTTTGAAAAAGAAAATAATCTAACATGCAAAATTAAAGTAACAGCATTTTTTATTGTAATATATTATAAACTAACTATTTCTGCAAATATAATAACAATTTTTATTTCAACAGTAAAACTATACTGGTGGCAATCGAAATCCGGTCATTCAAAATTTCGACAACCATAATTCCGACAGTATCAAAATTTCCACTATGTCTTTTTCTGTAAATATTTAATTAAATTAAAATTAATAATTAAAAAATGTATTTCATCAGCAATAAATGTATTTAATAATTACTGTAAAAAAATGTATGAAAAATTGTAAGAAAACTTTTATTTTTTTTTTATGAATGTCTAAAGAAATTCTTGTATGTATATAAGAATTGTGGATTATATTAGAAGGCTTTGAAATGTAATGAATAGACTTCTCTTCTAAGATGATGAAACGTAAGTTTTATGAAAGTTAAACTGGAATTAATATTGAAACAATCGGATAAAGTTTTGAGGAAGGAAGAAGCTTTTGTACGTGCGCGACTTCACGGTTTTGGTATTTAAAATTAATACTAAATCTGTTTCCAAATTTATCTATTTTTGATAAATACATAAAATATTGTAGGAAATTGCTGAAAAAAGTCTGAAATCAAAATAAATATATTTTGTCTTTATTTATTTATGTTCAATATTTATCCCAGAATTTCAAATCTATATCACTATATTTCAATCCATCATTATCTATGATCAGACAATTTATTTAATTGGGTTTAACAGTTTTCCATTCGATATTTATCAAAAATTCGTTTTTAACTTTACCATTTTTTCAACAAATTTTATTTTGATACTTCCTTCTTCTATTTCAAGATTTAACTCATGTTTAAAAATATAACTTCAAACGTCTATATTTGCAGCTTCTAATTAAAAGTAATGTTACGTATATTCAATCATCAATAATTTGAATTCTGATAATTACCTTAGTTATATCATAGACGAAGTAAATATTTAATTAAATTAAAATTAATAATTAAAAAATGTATTTCATCAGCAATAAATGTATTTAATAATTACTGTAAAAAAGTTTATGAAAAATTGTAAGAAAACTTTAATTTTTTTTTTATTAATGTCTAAAGAAATTCTTGTATTTATATAAGAATTGTGGATTATATTAGAAGGCTTTTGAAATGTAATGAATGGACTTCTCTTCTAAGATGATGAAACGTAAGTTTTATGAAAGTTAAACTGGAATTAACATTGAAACAATCGGATAAAGTTTTGAGGAAGGAAGAAGCGTTTGTACGTGTGCGACTTCATGGTTTTGGTATTTAAAACTCGACAGAAAGTTGTTGGCTTTGTTCGTCAGTATGGGGAGGGGGCTTGGAGGAGAAGATCTTGGAGTTTGAGGAATCGCGGATTTCTTCGGCGGAGTGAATTATGTAAATGCTCCTCGAGTTTGTCGGAGCAGGAAACAATGAAAGGATGCAACAAACGCAATAACAAGGAATGTTTTTCAAGCCACTCGCAACGCACCCACAGCCATCTCCTTTGAGGGGCGTAACTTTCCGGTCGAATCGCTTCCGCCTTCAGCCTACGCCATTAAGCAACAAAACAACACTTCCTGTTTCCATTCCACCAATTACACGCATTGTTTGAGCCGCCACAAATCTTGAAAGATAGACATAGTGAGAGAGAGAGAGGACTTACAAAATTTCTAGTTGCGAGCGGATGGGAAAACCTATTTCATTCGCAAGAGAACAGCACTACCGTCCGTGCGTGCTGGAAAAATACTTGGGAAGTTGAGGGCTTTGTAGTAAACCTCACTCAATCGTTGTTTACTTTCAATATTTGCCTGCGGTTTTAAAAGATTTTCGGATCATCGATGGACGCACAAAGTGCGGCCAGGTGCGAAAATATTTGCTTCGGATTTTGACTTTCAATATTAACTTTCATTCATGTGAAATTTAATCCGGATTGAATGCTAGGAAATGGGGGTGGCTTAATAATCTATTTAGATTGGACGAATCGCAATTCTGCAGACATTCCAAATAAGTCAATATCTCAGAATGTAACTAATAAATAAAAATAAGTAAATTTTCTAATAAAATACCGGTATTAATATTTATAACAGATATCCTAGTTGGAAAATAAAATATGTTGGATCTTGACCTTTAATAAAACGGAAAAAAGGTCGATCTAAAAATAAGCAAATTGTTCGAGTGTAAACAAAATGACCTTATTAAATATTAATATCACCTACACGCAACGTTGTATGTTACAAAATGACCTAGTGCTTCCATTTCAAGTGTGTTTCTGAAATATTAATACTAAATCTGTTTCCAAATTTATATATTTTTGATAAATACATAAAATATTGTAAGAAATTGCTGAAAAGAGTCTGAAATCAAAATAAATATATTTTGTCTTTATTTATTTATGTTCAATATTTATCCCAGAATTTCAAATCTATATCACTATATTTCAATCCATCATTATCTATGATCAGACAATTTATTTGATTGGGTTTAACAGTTTTCCATTCGATATTTATCAAAAATTCGTTTATAACTTTACCATTTTTTCAACAAACTTTATTTTCATACTTCCCTCTTCTATTTCAGGATTTAACTCATGTTTCTAAATAAAAGTAATCTTACGTATATTCAATCATTAATAATTTGAATTCTGGTAATTACCTTAGTTATATAATAAACGAAGTTTTTGTATTAGCTTTAAACTGGTACAAGCAAAACGGTTGGACATCTCCGTACTTCGACAATGGATAAAAGGTCTACTCGAGTCGTTTTAACGAATAACTTTATCAAATTGTTGTATTCTATTAAGTAAGGTACTTTCGTTGAAACTTGTTTTCGTACAAATCTCATGATTCTCCTAATTCTTCAATGATCTAAATCAGTGATTCCCAAACTCATTTAGCCTACCACACCCTTTTATGAAAAAATATTACTTTTTTAAATTTTAATAGCAACTAAACAGTTATTCATTGCCCTAAATGCATCTGTGGCAATACTCATGTTTACAAGTCATGTTTAAAATCTAAATTTTAAATATCTATTGCTTATTGCCTAAGTTTATGTTGAAGGAGGAAAATTGTACGGATCGGTCATGCAGAAGACAAACTTAACAACGTGCACTTTGCCCTTGGACAACTAGAAAAATGACACAAGTATGTTTAGATATATCATAGTATTAGTAAAATTAATGAACAATAACTAACTCACAAATTACCTTATAATTTATAACACACGTTCCACTCAAATAGTTACAAACTACATGTAATTTGATGGAAAAAATCCAATGATTCATTAGAAAACGGAAATTTCTAATTACAATATTGAGTAATAACAGCTTATTGAAATAATAATATATTTGAAAAAAAAAGCGATACAACAATTGATTGCTTAATTATTGTTACGTAATGATATGTAAACGTGTATTTTTGCCAATAAACTATTACTTTTATTGTTTTTTTTGTTTATTTATAAGTATTTTACTGTTTCATTCTATTCATTGTGTCGATCAGCTGTTCAATTTTTAATAGGTCGCGAAATGTCAGAAAAAAAATGCACAAAACGGCAAGAACGTTGAAAAACACTGGTGTAGATTATTAATAAACTTTTGTTTACAATGTTTTACATATATTTAATGATAATGTTTAAAAGTTTGATTTTTCATTTTTATTTTTCATAATTTTTATAATATTTAAATGTTCTCAAAATCATCAATATTCTCTGTTATATTTTTTATATAAGCTATCCCAGAAATCGGCAAATTTAAGATCCAAGACAGTGTCGTTCAATTGTTCATCCAAAAAGAGACAATTCATCTCGTTGGATTTGACCTTTTTCCAAACGGCATTATCGAAATCAACATTTTGTCCATCCGGAATTGGCTGACCGTATTTGGCCAAGTTCGTCCATAGCTTCACCATTTTCTCAACGACCTTATCTTCCCTACTGCCAAGCTCTATATCCGGAGTACGCGAATGCTTGAATATGTAACCCAGATCATCCATATGGGCAGCTCCTTTGTACTTTGCCGTTTCCGGAACGGCATTCTTGAACACGTTCAATTTAGTATCGGCTGCGAACTCGTACACGTAGATAGAATGGCTACTTTCCATCTTTCTAGCCAACTGAATTACTGGATACTTGAAGGTAACGTCCGTCAATAGGTGTATTAAATCGTAATCGTATTTGGATGGAAAATGTCCGTGAAAGTAGTATTTCTTAACTTCTTCTATCACCTCCATGAGGATATTCGGATCATCTTCAGTTAAAGCGTGTGGGATATCACTTTGCAATGTGAAATCGTAATGAAGGCCGGCAGTTACTGCAAATAGCTCCATGAAAATTCCTTCCAGCTCCGTGTAACCAATTATGTAAGGCATTCCGACGGACCACGAGTCCTTCAGCATATCGTATGGTCCTGCCGTTATGAAATTATCTTCCCCTGGACCTTCGATAACCAGACCACCATTCCACAGTGTACCAACCCGTGCGAACTGAAATATAATTATAAGAACTAAGCTTGCTTTATTATATAAATTCTTTAAAATTAACCCAACGCATTTTCTGCTGCGCTTTGAAAAGATCGGTGTATGGTATTTTACGCAACTCGTCTTCGATCATTTTCGGATCAACACTCTCAATTCCCAATTTCGCAGCTATCTCCAATCCGGTATTTTTTATTCCAAGCATCCAGGGCACCAAGACGACTCCACTTTGCGAGATCGCATGATGGAAAAGTCCTTTGGACATTGGAGATAGCATGTGCAGATTTACAGCAACTGCGCCTGCGCCTGCACCAAAGACAGTAACAGAATCCTTATTTCCTCCAAACTTGTGAATGTTCCTTTGCACCCATTTCAAAGCGTACACTTGATCTTTCAAACCATTGTTCGCAACTATATCGCTTCCTTCCAAATTCAAGAAACCTAAAAGCCAAAAAAATAAATCGTAGTGAATACAATGGAATATATATTCCACTTTACCAAGTGCTCCTAATCTATAGTTGAAAGCAACAAAAACTACATCCTCTATCATTATATGCTGCGGTCCAATTATATCAGTACTGGCAGTACCAAAATAAAAGCCTCCTTCATGTAAATAAACCATGACGGGTTTAAGATCTGACGGGTTAGTATCTTTCGTATAAACATTCATGTACAAACAATCTTCAACGCCACTTTGAACCCCCAAGTAACTATGTACGCACGTGGGAACATCTACAGTTGCATCTCTTACGCCTTCCCAAGGTTTCACTCGTTCAAGCGCCTAAAAAGAATAATTAAATATAAATTACATTTTTCTTGCAATCGCACCAACAACAAATATACCTTAAACCGGAGTGGTCCAAGTGGTGGTTCTGCATAAGGAATCGACATGAAGGCCAAAAAATCTTCACCTTTGTAATTCTTCATAGTAGCACCTCTCAACTTTCCTCCTTCGGTTTCGACGATATTCTCTTGTCCATCGCACAATATGATAAAACCTAAAATTAAACAAAGAATAATCATTTTCCACTTCAACAAATGAACAATCTTCCAGAAACAATAGCATTTCGTATTTATACCAATTTCTGATAAAATAATCACCATACATTTATAATATTTTCAATGAGTAATAGATAATATTAAACATTTAAACGAACTATTATTATACAGATAAATAATAATTTACTCAAATTATTTTATTGTTTAACTATAATAAATATAAATTTTCCAATTACACATTTAAATTTGAATGAAATTGCATGGAAATAGATACGCTAATATGTATAATAATAGAAAAAAAAAACCTCGATATTGAAAACAATGTACTTAACTCAAAAATTATACAATTTACTTAAGAAATATATCAAGAAACTCTCAAAATAGTTCTTCATAGAATCTATTTTTTAGTTGAAGAGAAATGATACATCTACTACATCCAGTCATTTTTCTTACAATTCATTTTGATCGTTAAGCGAAATGCTTGTTATGTACATTGATATACAAAAATAAGCATTGACAATTTCAATTTAAATGATGTAAAAAAGAAACTTCATTTGAGTAATGAATCAAAATTTCCAAATTTGTAAAAGTAATAATTTTGTAACTGAACAGTGTTAACTGGGCTACAGTTTCATGATTCAAATAGTTTTTTTTTTAATTATATTAAAAACTTTCATTTTTCATTGAATCTTTAAGCTTTTCAGAATATTATTTACTAATACAATCATATCATAATAAAATAGAACGAATGTAAAAATAATGAGTTTAATTTTATATAATTTGTTTTTATTTTAGAAGTTCACAAAACTTTTCTGTTTCACTTTTAAAGTATAATCAAATAACAAAATTCTATGCTTTGTTTTACTGACTAATTTAACATATTATGAAGAAATGTAAAATGCTCCGTGTTATTTAATTTCATACTTTTCTTACATTATAAATCCATAGTAATAGTAATTTTATAATTGTAATTTAATAATGAAACTAAGAATTAAGTTTTATTGCTCAAATTCATAAAATATTAACATTACTTATTAATATTTTAGATATTATGAAATGAAGATTAAGTTATAAGAATTCAAGATGATGTATATAATAATGGTATATAAACTATCTGTCTTGATTACGCTATGCTTCGAATTACAACCAGTAATTTTTCTGTGTTGTGAAACTTCAACGAAAATGTATTGATTGGTTAATGGTTTAATAACGGAGGACCGCTGTTATTAAATGATCTCGTAACATGTAATTTTAGTTCCAACTAAAAATAAAATATGAAGATGAAGATGGCCGACGGATCGAAGTAATGAAATTATTAGTTTCGATTGAGCGATCGAGATAGTGTCGATGAAATCAATTTGTTTTGATGGCAGATACAATCGAGGGGAAAGGTATGAAAGGTAAAGGAAATAAATCAGAGGCAGCTGTGGTCAAGGGCCCGCTGCTCCTCAAAAGATGTAAGAAAGTTGCTTCTCTTCTCGCACACACACACACACAGATCGAACAAAAGACCACCACAACCTGAGAGGTTTGTTCGGCAAATGCGAGTGAATGTGTTTTTGAAACATATATAATATAGTGTAAGTGTGTGTTTATAGCAGAATTCAAGTCAAAGAACAAAAAAACGCTGTTTATGTGCGTTTGTTTTGAATACACAAATTAAGCTCCTACAACACGGTTTCGCTCTAACACGATAAGATTAATTGAGAAAACCATCGTATAACAAACAAACTGTACACAATAAGAATTTTGCACTCATAATTTTATTATGAAAACATAATAAGTTAATGATTTTTTAAATAAAAATGAAGTTGTTTGTATGGATTAATAAAAATTATGGTTTTTATTAAGTTTTTGGAACGTAACACTCTCTGAGTCACATATGTAATAATACTAAATATTACCACAAAATATTGTTGACAAAATTTTCACCACTTTGCCAAGTTGCTGCAACGAATGTTTCACTGAAAAATATGGATATGAAAAAAAGTAAGAAAGTATGTAATATTAATGGGTCTATATCAAAATTCCAACAACCTAAATCCCGACAATGAAATTCGCGACATTCTAAATCCCGATGGTAACAAAATCTCGACATTAATCAAATCCCGACAGCATAAAAATTCCGAACATTTCAGTGGATTTTGGCCTAAATAATAAGAAATAATCTAAAATACAATTAGTATTACTATTAATAATAATAATTTACTTCGTAAGTAGTTGATTTTGATTAATAATATATTTTTTATATTTAATTTACTATTGTTAGATGAAATGTTTTATTGCCTCAAGTACCAACATTGATAGTACTTTAACAGCTTTTTTTTTGGTTTTTGATTATCTGTCAGATTGAATTTTCTAAACAGACAGTTCGAAATATCAAAGAAGTGTTAGGTAAGGATGCGGCTAATGAAAGTTCCGATCTGGTGGTTTTGATCTTGAAAAGAAACGCTGCAGCGGATAGACCTCAAACTACGCTTGAATTAGCAGTAAGGTTTGACATTACTGTTCCAACAATATGAAACCATTTGTAACAAATCTGTAATATTGAGAAGCTGGAAAAATGAGTTGAAATAAACGAACGTCAATTTTTAAACCATATTGACACCTGAGACAAGAAAATAATTATTTTTGACGATCGTAAACGTTTGGCACATTCACCAAAGAAAGCTAATGGTGTCTTGTCCTTCATGAAACCTAGTCAATAGATTACGGCAGATCTCTACAGTAACCAATTAGACGAAATGATGAGGATCTTGAGATTAAGATTGGTGAATAGAGACAGGTCAAATATCTTGCAGGACAATGCTTGACCATATAGAAACAGAAACTCTCTGACACCTACTGTATTCCTCAGAGCTTACACCAACTCTCTACCATTTCTTCTAGACATTGGACCACTTCTTTCAAAGAAAAATATTTAATTCACAATAATTAATGTTTGTTTTTAGCTCATATTGTCCAATAATGAAGAAATATGGGGCATCATGTAAACCTCATTACAATTCATGTTGAATTAATTATAACCCTTTAGTATTTTTCTTACGAATATCTGAATCTGAACCAATTAACATGTATTTGAATCTGCCACTGAATGTAACTATGCAATGACATTAAACAAATTTATTTTTATATCCTAAATTAAAGACTATTTATTACAAACTAGTATCAAAACTATACGAATACCTAAATATAAACATTTAAATTTCTGGCATAAAATTGGCATTAAAACAATACAAATCTAATCAAATAATTTAATACTAAACAACTATCAGATATTGTGGTTATTGAAAATCACTGTAAAAAGTTGAAAGTTTATGAAAATTAACATTTCTTACATTTTATTTTGGAACATGAATATCTTGAATAACCTCATCATAATTCAGATTTTAAATTAGAGTCCAAATTCATGTGATTATTAATATCATTTATGAAAACATTATTGCTGTATATATAGTAGAAATTGAATGTAAATAAATAAGGAAATCCTGACAACATTAGCATATAAATCCACGTCCATTGGATTTGTTTTAGTGCCTTTCGCTCCTATTTTCTCCATCCGTGCACTCAGACGACGGGCATATAGAACGAAAATGGTCGGTAAATGTTATGTAAAGATGCCTGTCCGAAGGTGGAAAAATGATGTGCGAATAAACTATCAAAAAAAAGGGGAGTATAATGTAATTCGGAATATAAATATAAAAGGGGGGCCGCCGTCAGATGGAAGTATGAGGAGCGGGAATGGATTTGAATAAGCAATAAGTCAACCCCAGTGAATACACATCCACATACATACACCTCTTATTTGTTGAATAAGAAACATGAAAATAAATAGATGCTTTTAACTAAAAAACGTTTATTTGATTTTCCTCCTTTTTTCCCTAAATAATAACATTCGGCGAGGAATGATTCCGGACACGTATGCAGCAGACTAGATTTGCGCACACCGCTCCTCCCGTATCTACTTTATTATTTAATTTTTAGTTTTATTTTCGTTGCCGGCTCGAGCGAGAATTTTATCTACGTTTTTCGGGATCCTCTGCTGCATGCGGCAGCCAGGAAGCGCCGCATCCTTTGAATATATTTCAGATAAATATTGTATGGGGCTGTGTTATCTATGCATAAGAAAAAGAGAAAAAAAATATATATATATCCCCGAAATATTGGACAATGCACGGCAACGATTTCCACTCGTATAGTCCTTTTTACTGCCGTTGCATAATCGATTCCAATGAAGAAACAGAAGCAATACAACCCTCCCATTCGCGGATTTCCATTTCGAAGCAATGTTATTTTTTTACTGTTATTTTCAGTATTATGATATAAAGATGAGAGATACAGTTACCAAGTATTTTAGAGCAAAAGAACTACGGATGATTTGGGTTGCAACAAAACTAAACAAAATATGAATTATTCCTTATTTAAGGGATACATTTTATAATTTAAAAGTACCTTAGAACTAAATATTTTTAATATAATATAAATGTTATTACTGATTTTCACATCATATTTCTAAATAAATGGTTAATTAGCCACAGCCTAGGACACACAGGGTTCTTGGTGTCTACAAAATCATATTTTTCTACCCAGAACTTTGGTTAACGTTACCTCTAATAACGATACTTTGATATAACAAAATTCGCAACTTTTTCGCCAACAGAACTACCTTTAAATCTTGAACATTAATCAATTTAATTGAAATATAATATATAGTGGAAATAAACGTCACTATAAAATGCTTAAATGCAGTTTGGCGCAAAATATAGCCAGAAAAAGTAAATAACATCGAACAAATTAGAAATAAAGTTATTAACCCGCACTACGGGTGGGTCAGAGGTTGACATTTTGGAGGTTGACCTTCTAGCTCTTCCAGTATTTTCTAGTACACTTTTCAGTAGTAGCGCAAAGCGAGCGAGAAGTACTTATTTTATTTCTAGAGAGTATTTCGGGTCATAGTGACCCGTCTATTGCAAATACGTTTTTGAAATATCATCAATATTTGTATTTCAAAGTGTAATAACTTTAGTTTCATCCAGTTGCACAACACTAGTGTATGATGAGACTAAAGCAGATGAGGATGCACTCGTTGAAAAATGTGGCAATGACTTTATTTCATTGTATATTAAATTTCGCTGGTGTGAACAGTAGAGTTATATATGAATACTAGCCTTTTGGAAAGAAGAATTCTGTCATAAAACACTAAGAACCTGTGTTGTATGAACCATGATCTGCATGATCGAATGTGCAACTAAAAGATTCCCATAAATCCTACAATTTCAATAGCAAATATTATGAAAGAAATAGGTGTTTTTTGTCCAAGCAAGAGCGATAAGTAATCATCAACGTTTTACAAAAGACCAATTTGTTCTACTTGCTCGAAAACAAAATACCCAAACTGTTCTAAGCAATAAAACCTGTTTTAAGTGTTGTTAAATTCATTAACTAATAAGAATTAATCTGTGTTTGATGTACAAAATAAATGGGTCATTTTGACCTATAGGTAGTATTTATGTGTTTGTAATGATTACACGTTAATCAATCTTTTATATAATACTACATATTTACTAAATAACAATACATTCAAATTTCTGTATGGACAATTTCAAATAATTTATCCAGTCTGTTGAAATATTTTCATCGTTATTAATAACAATATAATAAGGTTTAAGATCTTTGTATCTTTAACCGGTCAGTAAATAATATAAAATAATTATATTTAACTTCATAGAAATTAATTTTATATTATTTCAGTTTATAATATATTTCAGCATTTTCAACATTTTTTTTTTATCTCAAGGCACATTTGAATCTTTAGTTAAACTTCCGCAGCACACTTAAATAATAATCTTTGAATCCAATAAAACCTGCTTTCAACAAAATTTCTTAAATTAAACTCAACAACTTACTTGACCTACTTTAAATTTTATAGTTTTTAACTATAATCATTCAATTATATTTACTTAAAGTATAACGCAACCTTGTGTTAGATAGGAAAATTGGGATAGTAAAAGAATGATTGGTTATAGGCAACCACACATACACCCAAAGAAAATATCTTCTTTCCTTCGTCTAACATCTTCATTTAGCAGACGAAATGAAAATATCATTTGTTGTTATAATGACAATTAACTTAAGGTTGGCAAAGTTGTGTCAATAGACACCACAGAAGACAGAAGCCTGAGAAGAAGAATATGACAATTGAAATAAATTATTTAAGTATTTCTACATTAAATTAAACTGTATAATAAGAAAGTAATGCAAATCATTTATTATAGAAAAGCATACATTTACACATATTAATAAAAGCAAATTAATATATAAGAGGCTAATTTACTTATATTCAAAGAATATTTGTATCCACTAATTTCTAATTCCAAGTTGTAGCCACACGCAATTTAAAAATACGGATATTAATTTCACACATGATTACACTGATAATATGAAGAAAAATAAAACGATTAATATATGTTATCGCATGGTAAGCTATCTAGTACGAGAGTTATTTAAGCCAAAACATTAAGAAATTTGCTCTCAATTTCAACTAATTACTAGCAACTAATAGATCTATTAAGAATGAAGCTGAACTGTTTAGTAGTAATTTTCGTGGTCAAATTAGTATTTGCGTTAAAAATTGATCAAGGCGAGTTAATCGGTACTATTTCGAGTGATAGAAAAGGCAACGAGTTTATAAGTTTCATGTCCATACCTTATGCTCAACCTCCTATAAATAAATTGAGATTTACAGTATAAGGATTGATGAAGGTTTCGATCATATTACTAATATGTCTTCTTCCAGAATCCTCGAGAAGCTTTACCATGGTTAGGTGTATTAAATGCCACAAGATATTCACAAGCATGCAAGCAGATCAGCTTTGGAGAATATATTGGAGAGGAAGATTGTTTGTACCTAAACGTTTTTACCCGAAATGTAAGTATTTCACAAAAATTTAAAATCAATAAATGTTTAATTTGAAATTATTTTTTTTTAGATTGAATCATGTGAAACTGATCTAAAACCAATTGTGGTTTTCTTCCACGGTGGCGCGTTTCTGGAAGGATCGTCTTCATTATACGGTCCTAGGTTCCTAATGACCGAAGATATAGTCCTAGTTACAGTCAATTATCGACTTGGAATATTCGGATTTGCCAGTTCAAAGGATGGTAAAGTATCAGGAAATTTTGGTTTGAAAGATCAGAATATGGCTTTGAGATGGATACGGAAAAATATCAGGAAGTTTTGCGGTGACCCAGAAAACGTTACAATCATGGGACAAAGTGCCGGAGCAGCGAGTGTACATTTCCATGTACTCTCTCCAATGTCGCGTGGTCTTTTCAGCAAAGCAATTTCCATGAGCGGTTTCAGTGAGAACCTATGGGTGCGTGGTACGCGAGGATCATTCGAATTCGTAGCAAACAAAATGGGTTTACTGAAAAACACGACAGAGGAAACGCTGAGTATTTTAAGGGAAACTTCTAGTAGAAGCATTTTGCAGAGTTTGTATACAGATTCGTTGGTTGGTTTTTAAGAAAAGATCAATCAGATGAAACTATTTTTGTGACACTTTATTTTTAGAACTTGCCCATACATGAACCGTACCTATATGGGGTTATTATCGACGGGGAATTTGTTGTGGATGAGCCAATGGATCTTATCAGATCTGGAAAATATAATAAAGTGCCATATTTCTTCGGTTACACAAATAAAGAAGGTATAATATACCATGTGTTCAATATATTGGAAACGGGAAAACTTTTGGTGCTCACAGACTTTAAAGAAATGTTACCGAAAGACTTGGATATGGATATGAACGAATTTGAAGATGCAATTAAAAGCTTTTATTTCAATAGTGAAGATCCTAGCGAAAAAAATTGCGAAAATTTTGTTGATTTGGCGTCGGATCTTTGGTTCCGGATTGGTTACGAGGACGTGATCAAAGCGCATGCAAAGAACGGAGATATGTTATATTATTACAGATTCAGTGCTGATTCCAAAATGAACACTTTCAAAAGATTATCAAACATTACAGCTGCTTTTACAGGTAACACAACTAATTGATGTTGAATATGTAAATAGGAAATATATTTCGTTTAGGTGCTTCACATGAGGATGACGTTAGATACCTTTTCAACAGCGATTTAACGCCAAATATAGAAGCAGGAAGTCGTGAGGATGTTCTAATCGACAAAGTAATTGAGTTCTTTGTAAATTTTATCAAGTTTGGTAAACCTTCGGATCATTGGCCTCGTGTTACCAACGATCAAATGTTTTTCTGCGACATTGGAGACAATTTAATATGTGGAAAAAATCCGGACAGGGATCGTCTTGATTTTTGGAACAATCTCTACAAGAAACAAGGATTAAAAAAAGCCCTTTAAGTAGATAAATATGAATTTACAATAATAATAATAATATATTTGTTGACAAATCTAACTTTAACAGATCATCAAAAAAATATTGTGAAAATGAGTGTTTTTAAATTTATAAATAAATATATTTATGTATTTTGTTTCTAATTTTTAAGTTTTCGATGAAACTGAAGATAGTATTTATTTGACACAAAACCACGGAGCTGTAATTTATTATAGGCAACACATCATGCACATACAATACAAAAGTCTGTAATACAGCGTTTCTCAACCTATGAGTAGCGACAGATATCTTATTTGAAATTTTTATCATTATTCCTTGATTTTTTTTATTGATTTTTGAATTATTTTGATTTTTTTTTGTCTGTTGTGTGGCTATCCCAGTGGTTCTGCCCTTATTGATCGCGTGGACAAGTACTTTTATCTAACATGTTTTGCATGTCCTATAGTAGTTTGTTGATTTTTCTAAGATATTTCAATATAATTTCGCATTGTCCTATGCCATTAATGTAGCTATGCTTGTTGGTAGTAGACATCTATATTTTATAATTCTCTTTCGGCCCAATTTCTACCCCTTTCGGGTTTAACAGCCACCATAAATTTTGTGAATCGAACCAACGCTCTTTCGTATCAGATGTACGTGGTACAGACGACCATAGCCACATGGCTACGGCCGCCCTACATCTATATTTAATTACGTATTTCAATAATTGTAGTGATTCATGTGTGACAGCGGTCGGGGAACTTTTTTAACCATTACTCCAAAATATTATTGCGTAAGTCGATATTACCCTCCCCCATTCTGAATAGAAAACAATTAATGTAATGTAAAACAATTTAAATAAACATTATTTATTGAATTAATTTGCATTTACATATTTATAAAAAAAGTTACAAGAAAATAGTAACAAATAGTAATAGA